TAGGCCTACTTGTTCTCTAGTACATATTTTCATCATAAACATGTAATGCTTCAAATTGTAAATTTTCAATCCCACAAAAAATATATTAAAAGCTCATAGATAGATAGATACACACATAAATACAAACATACATAATAATTGTATGTAAACACTGTGCTTTACTTTTTTATCTTTGATTGGTATTTTGGCACACTGAGTAGATTTTTAAAAAAGAAGTAATTGGACTTTTTTGTGGAAAAAACAAATCAGAACACATGCTATTGTTCAAAACAGAATATTTTTGTGTCTGAAAACATATCTGGGTGGGATTGTAAATTCCAAAGCCAGTGAATTAGAAATGAATGACGTCCATTTGTGACATTGCTGTGCTTGACTTGGGATGGGAGTTCACCAGCCCTACATAGCTAATTTGCATATTGAGGTCAGATCACAATCAAGCATACCTGTTGCAATGTTGCAAAAAAAATGCAAGTTTTTACAAGTTGGGAACAATAAGGCCTTAGGGCAGTTCCTTGCTTTGCCTGTTTGGTAATCCATCTTGTATTGTCATGACATGACAGACAAACAGAGATTCTGCAGAGATCCTCTTTTATCTATGTAGTGAACCATGTTGCAATATACTACATTGTTTGTTCATTTCCAACTCTGTTGAACACACATAGGCTACATTGCTGGAATCACAGAGCATGTGGTTGCGTAAAAGTTCTCTTCCCCTGGGAAACATTCACTCCCATTTGTTTACACTACAACAGGTGTGGATGGCTTTAATGAAGATGAGCACTGAATCTGACTGTGACCAACAGATATTAAAATATCTCCTGACCTTACAAACAGGGATTACAGTGCAAGTCTGTCACAGCGGGACGCGACTGCATGCAGCATGCCCTGCAATCCTCTCCACTCAATAAGCTGAGGCAGAATTTATGGCCCCGCAGACAGCCCCGTGCTGTATGTGTTGGTCTCCGCCACGGATTACGGGATACACAAATGGTGATGCGTGGGTGTCAGGAGAGGTGCTAGACGCTGATGTTTCAGGTTTCAAGGTTCAGCTGGCTTTCTCAATGAAAGTGAATAATATCTTCCCATGGGACATATACAGGAAATACTAAGGGCCCCAAGTCACCGCTGGATCATAAACACCTTCATGTTTGCTCTCTTATTCCCACTCTGTCTTTTTGTCTGTCTCTGAGGAGCAATAGCATCACCCTCAACTTGACTGCATTACTGTATTATTTTGTATTATCCTGACACAAGCCCGGTGTCCTACATTGCATGTCAATACTTGGCTCTGTCCATTAATCGAACCAAGCACCATTCTTTTATGAGACACAACAAGGCTGCGTGAGCGAGCAAGCAGACTCTGCAAAGAGCTGAGTCCCCTGTAATTCAGCGTTGAACCAGACATTGTGAATAAATGTAGGGTTGGGAAGTGCAAGCTGTAAACTTATTGATTATCTACCTGCCATTCAACTTTCTGTAATCCATAGACCATTAAGCTGCTGGAAAATGCAAAAGATGAAAGGGGTCACTCATAGTGACATAGTCACAGATCAGTCTGCAGTTTCTTAAACTTCACCGAGTTTTCCAGCTCATTGCCGATGGGGAGTTGCTACTAGTTCAGCTACATTTCTCAGTAGGGGGTTTTCTACTTAGTAGGGAGGCAATGTGACAGAACACTACATTTCTAAAGATAAAAAGCTCTGAAATGATTGAAATGTTATTCCTTCTGCACAGATTCTGCACCTCGCCATCTTCCGGCTCTGGACAGCTGGGTGGAAGCATGGTCTCCTGTCCCTCACATTGTCTGTCAAAAACCATGCTAAAAGGAGAGTGAACATTGGACTTAATTTGATCTGGTGGAGAGAAACATGATTCCAAATAATTGAGAGTGTTGCTCTGTGTCTGCTGGATTTGTAAATAGGCAACGAACATGCCCAGAAAAAATAATAATATAACATGTCAATGTTGTGTTTTCAGCTTGTTGAGCTTCCCCCAAAAGGGCAAAAAAGAAGAGATAAAAAAAAAGATTTAATGCAGCTTTAAAGTAGAAAGCAGCACAAGTTGTACCAACACAGACAAAACATGGTAATCCCCTACTGGAATTTCGCTGTTTGCTCTTTACCTCAGACTGAACTCTCCTTCATGTTAGAGTAAGATTTGCTTGAACAGGCAGATGGAAGCTTTTAAGACTCGATATCCATGATTCAAATTAAGAAACTTGTATGATTAGAACATATTACCATCCAACATGGATTAATTGTTGATAAATCCAGTGCTCATCCTGCAACATGGTCCTGAGTGCATAGAGGAAAACATATTTTATGCTAAAGCTGCTTACGGAAATATTCAGTTTTTGGTGGTTTTAATGATTTCAGAAATCTGAGCCAATAAGAAAATTAATGTTATAGCTTATTAAAAAAACAATATAGTAAAGTTATCTGGACTACATCAAGAAGTGAACTGATTGTACCTAAAAAGCAGCAAGTGTTTTCAGTAGTTGTCAGTGAAGGGTAAGAATAGTTGAGGGACTGAACCTGTGTGACTCCTTCACAGTGAACATATCCAGCTGGGAGGTGAGGTTTTGCATTTCAACAGACCTCTCCCGGTATTCAAACAACCAGTACAAAGAAATTATAAAATTATTATTATTATAAATTATATTAAGAGGCACAGAGATGAAGAAGGCTTCTAATAATCACCAGGGGTTCTCATTAACTTATATGTAGATTAGAATGTAGTTATGTATAATATATAGACTTGTCTGTGTGATTGAATAGATGTGAGTGTAGTTCTAAGTTTGTATATTCATTTTTTGTTTAGATTTATAATTTTATAGATGTATTAGTTTCGTTGACTTATTATTGTTAGTAGATGTATTTAGTGAATTAAGGGGTAGGAGTATATGTTTCACTTGAATGAATGAATGAATGAATGAATGAATCTTTATTATCCACCGAGATGGAAATTTTTCATCAATCATATAAATAAATGTACTTTAAATACATCAGGATAATTCATTTGCTATAGTTACTTGGTTTGATTCAGGATTCCAATAGCATTTGGCAGAAAAGATTTCCAAAAAGTACTTTTTGCAAGAGGCACCCTGAAGCGCCTCTCAGACTTCAGAAGCTCAAACTGGCTAGAAAGAGGGTGAGTGCTGTCTGTAGTGATTTGTCGAGCCTTCTTTCTCATTCTGTCAGTATATATTTGGGTCAGATGTTTTTGAGGATTTCCTACTATTTTACTAGCCATTAACACTATCCTGTTAAGCTTGTTCTTAAGCTTGCAATTTAAATGACCAAACCAAGCAGAGAGATGAAAGGTTAAAACACTTTCAATGTGTGTGATATATACTAGTTCAATAATCTGAGCACTAACGCCCAGGCAGTTCAGTCTTCTGAGGAGATTAAGTCGTTGTGAACATTTCTTAAAAATATTATCTGTATTATCTATAAAACTCAAATGGTTGTCAACAACCGTGCCTAAATACTTAAAAGTTCCCACAGTTTCAACTACTTGACCATTAAGTACAACTGGCTCTGTTGTTTAATGGTACTATTATTTATGGAAAATTCATTTGTGAATAGAGAAAAAAGCACAGGGGAAAGAATGCTGCCTTGTGAGCAGCCTGTACTGATAGTATGCACTCCTGACACACATACCTTCTTTCTTCTCCCTTTCTTACATGTAAATAGAAGTGTTTAACTACTGGAAAATATGGATTTTATATTTTGTTCTGTTTTTACCACTGTTTGTTGTTCTTCTTCTTCTTGAAATAAATACATCAATCAATCAATCAACTGTTTTAAATCTCTAATCTAATCTCTTTATGTACAATATGGTTTGGACATGAGGCCCTGCTGCCAGACGATGGAGCTGTTTTCTACCAAATACCTCAAGACTCCTTGACAGAGGTCAGGGTAAATCACCACCTCCTCTTATGCTCACACTTGGCAGAAGATGTGGGTCATCACCATCCCTGCAATATTCAGGAAGTCCGTGTGGTAATATTAAATATGTGTTTAATATGAGCTATTTCAATTATTTCAAAGCATTTACATTCCAATTCTGAGATAACAAGAACAGGCCTAAAACAGGAATTTTATGTCAACAGGACTTTCACAATGGATTTGCACATTTGTGTTGTTGTTGCACAGTTGTGAAAATACTTGATGCGCTAAAGACGCTGCACTGTTGCACTGTTCTCAAGCCTAGTGTTCTTATCTCTTTGACTGGTCATTTGCAGCTTTGGCCCTGTTGTACCATGTGAATATGCTTTTCAGTAGCTTTTAGATTAGGCTAAGCTTTCTCTCTCTTTATTTACATTTACATTATAAGTGATTTCAGAAGTCTAGCCCAAACATTTTAAATATTGGTTATAAAGCTTCAGTACTACATATTTGACATAGTTTCAGCCAATAGAATTTTGTTTAAACTGCCAAAGAGAGAGTGTTATGGAATTCATTAAACCTTTAACTAGACTAAAACCTATTTTAAGAAAGGACAAAAAACAGCCAGTATTTTAATACAACATGCCACAGGTACTTTTAATGTTTTACTATACTATTTGTTTGGCATTTATAAAACATATCAGAACTCATAAAATAAGATGCACTACTTTAAGCCAACAGCTGTATCGGCCGCTATTACATCAAAACTAAAGTGGTTAAATTTAGCTCAACCCACAACATTAAATTGCTGATTTAAATTTTGGGTATTAGTAATAATAAACCAATAATATTTTTTATAATATAACATCCTGAATGCCCCAAATCACTACTTTTACCCTGATTCTTAGGCTAATATCCCTATGTTCTAAATATTTCATTAAGTAGTCCTACTATTTTGTACCAAGTGAAATTTATGAATTATTTTGCCACCACTCATAAAAATAACAATGTAATTAATAAAAATAAAGTTAATTCTCAGTTTGATTTGAACGCTTTTAAGCTGGTTTTATAACCGGAAGTTAGTGGTAGGGTTTTTCCGCTGACTTGCGTGAAACCACGTGACTAGTTTGAAGTGGGAGTGTAAAGATGGTTGCCACTGTAACCAAATCAAATCTGGATCGATTGCGAAGTTTCTGGTTTTTATATCCAATGTTTCATTTTAAAAACACCCGTGAATTAACATGTTTGTTTGTTACCGTTTGTATATTGATGAGCCAGTCGCTGGCAGACAGCCAGGACTTTATGGAGGACTTTTTGAAGCGGGAGTATTCTCTGGCAAAGCCATACCGTGGTAAGTTGGTGACTGTCAAATAACCCTAGCGGTTACCTTAACGCACACGTTAGCTAACGAGTGTAATTAAGCTAAATTAAGTTAACTGTAACTAACAAAAACAATTCTTTGAAACGTAAATGAGCATTGCGTTTAATTCCGCGCAACTCATGGATAGCTAGTGCTGTGTCAGCAGTATAACGTTAATTATTAACTCAGAGGAACTCTGTGCCCCTCAGGCACTTGTGGTTAACTGTTACGTGAGACATCTTGATAGCTATTGTTGGCTCAGGAATAACAGCTAACGTTAGTTAGCTTGTTAGTAATGATAATAAAGTCTAACGTTAGCTTAACGTAAATTTAACCAACCAAGTTAACGAACTCCTCTCTGCTTACACTAGAGTGTTACAGTGTTTGTTTCATGCTCGTTTTACACACGATACACCAGTAAGTGCTAAGTAACGTTACAGAAATGTTAGCCGACATGATCCTTAAAACAACAACCACCCTCAAGTTGGCAAGAGACAATTTAACAAAAATATTTTGCTTTTGTCGCAGATCACTATTTTTTTTTTTTACCTTAACATAATGTTGAAACAAAGTTACAATTTGGTTCGTGTGTATTTGACCAGTAAGTAAAATGAAATACAATTCAGAGATTTTAAAGGGCAGTTTGGACAGTGTGCAGCCTGGTGTATTGTATTGTTTATAGACCGAGAATAGTTGGAGGAATCCCTACAATTTAAAGTTACTGTAGAAACTGGCCTGAATACTGTAGCTAACAGATATATTTCTGCTGTGCAGGGTTAGGTTTCTCTAGTTCTTCACAGTGGGATCTGATGGGCACGGCCATGGTTACGCCTGACTATGTGAGGCTGACCCCAGACCTGCAGAGCAGACAGGGAGCTGTTTGGAGTCGAATTGTAAGTCTGCTGTAAAAAATTGCACATCCCACTCACTCTGCACACATCCTACACACCTTAACCTGCCTGTTTGAGAGAAGTACACAGAACCACTTAACATGACATTGACATAAAAATTTTATATTATATGTATACACCTTTTATGAATATAGTATAGACTGACAGTCTAAAGTACTGACACTTAAACTTTAGACTAACTCAGCCTGTTTCAAAAGCATAGTGTGTTACTCAGTTCCGTTGACAAATGCTTAGTACACATATCATAGCACAGGAATAACCTGCCTGTGTTTCTTTCTCTGGCTTTCTAGCCTTTCTTCTTGCAGGACTGGGAGCTCAAGGTGCACTTTAAAATCCATGGCCTGGGAAAGAAGAATTTGAATGGGGATGGACTGGCTGTCTGGTTAACCAAAGATCGCATGCAGAACGGTAGGTAGAGATTGGATCACTGTTGAGGTGTCATGTCTCATACAACGAAAATGAACTAGGTGCTACAAATGATTTCATGTAATATGAACCCAGTATTCCAGGAGCATATTTACAAAGCCTAGTCTTAAGAGTTGGCTCATCTTTCTGCTCAACAAAACAAAGGAGAACGATTTTTAAAGGAATAAGCAAATATTTTAATGTGCTTCTTTGTAATCTTTGCTGTGTCATAGTCAGATGATATGATTGACACATCAGTGATTTCATCTCAGTACATTCTGTGCAAAGTGACTGGCAAGATCTGCATGTGGCACCAAGGCCTCATTCAGGCCGTCAGCCCAAATAATGTTTTTGGCAAATCCAGATTGATTGTAGAAAATCTGGACAGCAAACAAAAAACACATGAAATGTGATTTTTCCAGATCGGATCCAAACCTCATTGGACACCTGATTCCAGTTAAGCTTGATTTGTAGTTCTGCGTAGGGTCTACGTGCGTAGCCTACGGCGTAGCACGGCATATATTTATACTTGTGTGTCGGCATCTTCGTCATTCTGCAATTACACCCCCAAACGCTAGTCGGCGGTAGCGCTACAGCGTCCACTATGTTGAGTTTTGCTGGCCGAGCAGGCTAACTTCTGGTTTAGCCCTCTGCTAACGTGAATGGGGGTGAAATTGTAAACATGCGGCTGGTGTAGCCTTTTCAATTGTTATTAATTGAATGGATCGCATTCTGAGAATTGCCTGACAGACCTCCCTCTTTCTTTGCAGGTCCTGTGTTTGGCAACATGAACCAGTTCATTGGATTGGGAATATTTGTGGACACCTACCCCAACGCTGACAAGAACCATGATGTGAGTGACAGATACAGTAGAAACTAAATGGAGACCACATGAACATGTCAAAAGTGATCTTTGCCCCAGAAATGATTGAAGACAACCCCGGCATGCCTAATGGCACACAATGTAAAAGCCTTGCATGGTACAGCCTGCTCGTCTTGCCTGGCTTCTTATTTTCAGTAATGAACTGATCCCAGGAGTGTGTCATATTTCTCTTTCTGCAACCCACTCGAATGGCCAGAGGACACTATCTGGAATTCAGGTAGCATCAGAAACAGCTGTTTATTGATGAGCTGAGGATGTTCATCCATTGCATTCACCAGTTCACCATCCCACATTATGTCATTACATACACCTGTGTTGATGCGTGTCTGGTGTCAAATTGTGGTACTGCAGCTGAAATAGCAGAGTAAAGGTGTACTTTGAGTGTGTCTGTGTTGTACAGTGTGTGTTTAACACTGCCGTCTTCCTCACAGAGGACTTTCCCGTATATATCAGTGATGCTGGGGAATGGGACTCTGTCATATGACCATGACTATGATGGACGGCCCACTGAGCTCGGAGGATGTACAGCTATGGTGCGCAACGCAATTTACGATACATTTCTGCTCGTCAGATACTCCAAAAACAGACTCACGGTAAGAAATCCTGTAACCATGGTGGGATTAATACATTATATTTACATGTTGGTTTTTAGATCAACATTTAAATTGTGTTTAAATGTTACATAGTCATGTCATAAAGCGTGAAAATAACAATTATAAGTTACATTTTTTCATCATGGAAAAACCCCCAAGGCAGGATTTAAAAGCCAGGATGACAATCATATTAAATGTTGAAAAAATAATTTCAGGTTAAAGGATTCCCATGAAAACAGAATCCCGGCACTCCCAGATAAATAGTCTTCCTGTTCATAAAACAAACATATTTCAACCAGAACTCATCAGTGTAGTTTATACCTATGAAATAAAATGAGAAAACGGTTGATAAAGATAACTCCTAGCATTAGTTTATCCTCTGTCAGTGACTCATGCTGACCTTCCTCCGCTCTCCAGCTCATGGTGGACGTAGATGGTAAGCAGGAATGGAAAGACTGTGCGGACATCACAGGACTGCGGCTACCCACAGGCTACTTTTTTGGTGCCTCATCCGCCACTGGAGACCTGTCAGGTATGAGGAATCTGACCACTGGGAACCTTTGTTTAATTAGATTAAGTGGAATGAAATGTTAATTACATCTTAAATGATGCTAAGATGACAGAAGAAACAGCAAATGGGCCCAAGAGGTTTGTTTGAAGTCCCTCTTCATGTGTTAATTACTGACTTGTGCATGTGGCTCTAGATAACCATGACATCATCTCCATGAAGTTGTACCAGCTGACAGTAGAGAGGACTCCTGAGGATGAGGAAGAGGAGGAGGTCACCATCCCCAGGGTTGACAACATGGAACAGTTCCAAGGTAGATACAGCATGGCCCTGTCCGCTCTGTGGACTGTGAAGTTCTTTCTTAGAAGGTTGCATGATTATACAATACATAGACGCCTAGATTTAATACTATAGCTACTAAATATTAGGGCTGCAACTGACGACTATTTTGATAGTTGATCAATCTGTCCATTATTAAAACAAGTAATCGACGAATTCGGATTATGAATCGCAAAATTACACAATGTCTCTCATTAAGTTATCAGCTTTTAAATTAAACTTGAGTTTGGTTTAGATGCTAAGTAACAGACAAGACAATCAAATGAATGCTGCTTTCAAAAATACATCTTTTAATGAACGTTTCTGATGCTGCAACAGAAAGTTCCACTGAAATCAAGGCCTTTCATGGACCAAACAGCTCTATTCAGTAAGCAATAAAAGTGTGTGCGCATAGCGCTGTGCGAACACTCATCTGAACAGCTGATCTGCTGTCTACGGACGGAGTAGTTTACGCATTGGTACTGCAACATACGGGGACAAACTAACAAGGAACAACTTCATGTGTCACATCTGCCAAATTTACAAGAGGGGACCAATAATAACGATTTTGCAGTAGACAGAGTTTCAAAAGTGTATATAATACCCCCATAGCCAACAACTCACAAACCTCCTTGTTTTTTTATGGAGGTCTGGTGTGGATTAGCTGCCACCTTATGCAGAGACAGAACTGTTTTCTTATTTTTTAACAAAGTAAGAAATTGTCTGGTGTTGTCTTATCCTGTGCACTCGGCAGCAACACATTGTCCAGCTGTAAACGTCGCCATGAACGATGCATTGTTTATGATTGTAAAGTCAGGTCACATCTGTAAAGTGAACAGGACCGTTGTGCTATAATAATTATTTGCTACGCTAACCGTCATTAACGATTGATTGACCGAGGGAAAATATATAGAAAACGTTATAGCTCAATACATGAAGTAACACGGCTTTAACGTTAAGCTAGCTTGCTAACTATCTTACCGAGACGAGTCTTCGTCATCCAGAGAGCCACAACATTATGTGCCTCCTCTCTAGATGCTCCGGCATAACTGAGGTGCTCCCAGACCAGGAGAGGTCAACTTTGCAAATTCTGCAGTTCACAACCTTTTTGGCAAAGTGAAGAGTCAAGTGCTTCCACACACTGGAGGTTTTTAGGTTGTGAAGGTGTTAATACTATCGCTGATGTTGTGTTGTTTTATTAACTTTACTGTTCACATCACTTTACTCCGTTAAGCTGACCATGTCTATCGCCCAATGAACGAATTGATTGTTAAATTTGTTGGCAACTAATTTAATAATCGTTTTTTGTCGACTGTTCTTGTTGCACCCCTAATAACATTACCATCACTCATCATTTACAGTCACATGACGAGCCGGAGATTGTGGTTCACTTGAGGAATTCTCTCAACTTCCTTTTTCAGGGTAGAAAAAAGATTGTGGTGGTGTCTCTGTTTGTATGAGTACTTCATGTTTTCTGTGCAATTCAAAATGAAAGTAGCAGAAGCCAAGGTACCCTTTTAATATCTAGAATGAGTCAAGTTCCAAAAACCCTGGATCCTACACCTGCCATAATGCACCTCATTATGGCAGGTGTAAATGGGGTGCAGCTTTTTTCATTAGGCTTCTCCTTTGGAAATGCCCAAATCTTCCAGAGAAACTTCCAAAGAGACTGATTGTAGATGCCTCTCCATTGCAAAGCAGCTTTGTCCACAAAACGAACAAACTGTTAATACTATATATTAATAACCAGTGTTTCTAGGGGAATTGCTGTCTCATGTGCCCTTTGTTCAGTGTCTGGTACTCTCGGGCTAGGCAGTTCATCTCTCTAAGCAATGATACTCAAAATGGCATAACCCCATTTTATTTTGTGGAAGAAGCTGACAGCCTTGGTCTAAAATAAATTCTTTTTCATGAAGTGGTTGTATAAAGTTAACCTGAACACTGCTTGGGATCCTGATCTTTTTTATAATGAATCGTCATTCTTTTGCTTCGCAGTGGAAGTCCAGGAGGAAGGGATGAGCGGAGTCCAGTTCTTCTTCACCCTCCTCTTCTCCATCCTGGGCCTGGGTGTGCTGGCAGTGGTGGGGATGGTGGTTTATGGGCGCTGGAAGGAAAACCGACGCAAGCGTTTCTATTGATCAGAGAGTGGTTGATCCACATAGGTTTTCAGAATGTATGTTTTTTTTGATCAACATACAACACAACAATGCAAACACTGCACTAGCTTTACTGAACCATACAATCGAACAACCTCGTGGGTCTGATGCCCAGAGCCAAGAGAACACCTGAGAAGAACAGCTGAAGAGATCAGGAACTGGTGAGAGAGCCAGCTGTGAAATATTCTTTTTTTTTTTAATCTTGTGTTATAGAAGATAGATGAGATAAAGCTGCCATAGAAGATTTTTTTTTGGAGACACTGTAGATTTAACATATCTGCCCCACTTCTACATCAACAGGAAGAGACTTAACAAAAACTTCAGAATCAATCACAGATGCTGTGTGTAGTTTACTGACATCATGTTACATGATTTCTCACTGCCCCTTGGTGCTGCCAGCGTGCAGCTTTAATCTGACATGTAGCTGCTGTGAAGACCAGTCAACCTGTGGATCACTGTAGACTTCTTTTTGTTGCACTGAAAAAAAGTAAAACGGTATTGAGCTCCCATGCATTTGAGAGCACCTTATAAACCAGACAAGCCCTTACGTCAGCTTAAGGAGATTAATGGTAGCTTTTTGTAAATGAATGATTTATTCGTCGCGCTCTATGTTGTATGTTAAAGTTAGAACTAAAGTCACGTGTGCTGTTTGAAGTGCCTAGCTAGGACCAATAAACACAAGCTCTTTCTTATGTTCCAGTCCTTTCTGCATGTAACATCAGAAGTTATTTGGCTTCATTTACTTTCTAAAGTTACTAACATTTCTCCGTTATGATAAGTGGATGTAAAGGTTTGTCACTGTTACGCCCCAAATATCATTTTCAGCATCAGTTTTCTGTGTCACTGAATCAAACCTGTTTCATTAACCAATTCATTTGTGATCCTTTTTCTCTGACTTCAGCATTAGCATTTACTATGAATTGAATAGCCATACACAGGAGCGTGTAGTCAAATGTGAGTTTGAGTACATTGAGTATGTGAATGTGAATACTGTTTACTTTTTAGTTGTTTTACCTGGAATATAAATCCTGCCATCATACATGCTCCCCCCAGCTTTGTCACAACTACCAGAGATGATCCTTTCTGCCTTTCTAGCCAGTACGCCAGTGTTTGCTGAAGCAATGTGTTGATATTTAAATAGTACGTAACCACTACAACTGCTTCTTGAGGTACTGTGTATCTTTTATTAGATCCTAGTCTCATTCTATAGCATCTGTAAAAGCAAGTTATTTTTGTTTTTGCAAAAAAAAAATCTAGTAGTTCTACTAACTTGACCCACATAAATCTGTGTACGTCCCATGGGACACGCTGAACTGCAAGGGGGAGTGAAGTTACTGCTTTGAATTTTGACTGGTAAGAAAGAAACTTGGAGTTGTGCAAGTGAAACACAAGCCATTGCTGGCTGGGTTAGAGGTCAAACCCTGAGTTACAAATGTAATTACAGTTCTATGAACTCTGGCTTGCTCTGGGTTGTAATATGTAGCCACGAAAAGCGTGTGAAAATGGCTGAAATGCATCAGTTTCAACAGGTTGAGAGGAACAATCTCAGAGCTGTGAGGGTTTGGGCTTCAAGTATTTCTTTTTCATTTGCTAAGGGTTTGTGTTCAATGTAAAACAAGGTGTTAAGTTGCTCCTTAATAATGCTTTTCATTTGTATCTTTGTCTTCAAGTAGATGTACATACTGAAAAACATTCTGAAGCACGAGAGGGAATAATACCGTTTTTCCTGGCTAAAATTGGCCTATAGTCAGGAATTCCACATAAATTGGTGGGATTTCACTTTACAAAAGTACAGTACAGTGAACAGTGAGATTGTCAGACTCATGATGAAAAGCAACTTTCTAATCCTTCACATAAGAGCAGCTTGGTCAGGCTGAAATCAGACTTCACTTTTCTAAAGATTGTGTGCTTGTGACATGTCCTGATCACCATGTAGACTTCACCGTGTTCCTTTGAATGATGTTGGGCTTATTTGTAGGAGTGATTTTAATTTAGTTCATTTTGTATTCTTGCATATGTCATGTTGGCTGTCACAGCTGTTTTAAAACAATGTCAGTCAGTAGTTGACTAAAGGTTAGAACCACTCTGCCATCATTGCTAGAGTTAAAACTGTCTACAAAACTTCAAAGAGCAGGTTTTGTTGGTAGATTCCAATATTGTTGTCCGTCTTCAAGGTTTACTGTTATTTCTCTTTTCCTCTAATTGTCAGTGTAGGTGATTTTCTTTCTTTACTGTATTTGTCGTTTTAATCATTGAATTCACCATGGGCCATCATTGGGGCAAACATCCCTTTAGTTCAATATTTAAAAATAAAAACTATGCTTTGCAATTCTGCTTTAAATTTGTTAATCAAAACCATTGAAAAACTGTGAATGAAGAGTATATGTGTATGTCATGCTCCTGTAACTGACTCTTTTCTCATTAAAGGTTTTTTATGCTAGTTTTTCCCACGTGGTTATGTATTATTTTGTCTCTCTCTGTGCCCAGTTTCTATTAATATTACTTCATAAATGCGTTAGATGTTAAAAACCAAGATAATCAAATGCACAAGTTTTGATCTTACTACTTTTGCATAATAATTAAAATTTTTATAGCGCCTTTCATGGGACCCAAGGGCGCTTTACACATAACTACAGAGACAGAACAATAAATGTCATTCCGGGTTGAATGTCTTTGTGAAGAGGTGGGGTTTTAGGAGGTTTTGTTTTTGAAGGTGCCCAGAGGGGGAGCATTTCGGGTCTCTGGGGATGGAGTTCCAGAGGGTGGGGGCTGTGAAGGCTCTGTCCCCAAAAGTCAGCAGCCTGGTGTGGGGGACAGAGCGCAAGCCCTTGTTGGTGGACCGCAGGTTCTGTGAGGGGGTGTAGTGTACTGGGTTGCAGCAGCACGGAGAGATTTATAGGTGCATACTTACATGGTTTTGTGTTTAGGCCCTTAAAATGCACTCAAGATATGAAATAAAATGGCCCTGAAAAGTATGAGGACCCACCCAACCTTTTATTGTTTGGTAGATTTTTTTTAGAATGAATTAAATGCAATTGTGGCACTTCTATTCTAATCCTACACACATTATCCAATGATGACAAAGAAAAACATTAGTTTGGAGTTTTTTAGAAATGTGTTAATCCAAAAATCTTTCAAAAAAGACCGGGTTCTCAAGTTTTTATACAAAGTACCCACATTTGTTCACTACAAATGTCACCAATTCAATCCTCTACAAGAATATCACACACCTCATGAGTTGATGTCAAATGCAATGTGTTCCCTTATTACAACCTACACCAATAGCGGGGTAGGTTGTAACAATGATATGCTTCCAAAACAGGTAGTGTTAAAAGTAGTTGTAAAAGAACAATGTTTCTCTCTAACAGACTTAACAGACTTTGTCTGATGACTCATGCGCATGTACAGTATGTAAATTTATCTATAGAATAAACTTACTTAAAAGTATACTTAATAAATACTACTAAAATGTAATTAATTAAAGAAAATCTCTGTACATCCTTATGTCTAACTAAAAAGAGGTGTGTGTGTGTGTGTGTGTGTGTGTGTGTGTGTGTGTGTGTGTGTGTGTGTGTGTGTGTGTGTGTGTGTGTGTGTGTGTGTGTGTCAATGTGTGTATTCTTCTTCAGAGTCGCATAACGGGACTTTATTTTTTATGCACTGGCACTTCTCACAAGCTGCCCATACACTTTTCTACCCTCTCCACCAGCGGAGACCAATTATGGAAAAGGTCCAACATATGTACAACTTGTGAATGAGGAGTACTGGTCACAGTGCTGAAAAATGAATGCTGGTAACCCTGGAGTGCGGCCCAGACTGCATAGGGCAATCTGGAAAATATTAAAATCAAGAAAGTACCTAGTTTTATGTATCGTGGATGGTTGTAACACTTTTTAAGGAAGTGTTCCAACCCACCCCTGTCAGCCAATGTTTAGCTAACTGTATTTCCATAGTGGTTTGAAATTAGAAAGGAAAAAATGCATCACATGAGAAAACTATATTTCAATCTAATATAAATCAAACAATTCTTTCTGCAATAGTATAGATATTAAACTAAAAATAGTCTTGGTCAAAAACTTTACTTTCTTACCTCAAAATCAGTTTTTCCTCTACGTATTCGGAATGCACCTCTTTCCAGACTTGATAACCACCACGCTTGATTGGGGATGAAGTAGGTAAATACTGAAATGATCACCTAACTCCAAACTTATCTCTATTTGGTGGAATGTTACAACTCTCCCCATGTTACAACTATACCCGCTCTCCCCTACATGTATTCAGAGCCGTTGCTCTGGGACATCTAATTGATCTCAGCTTCATCCTTAGCCCCATTTACACTTGTCATATCAAGGGACTCGGGTCTGGGTAAAATCCAGATAAGATTTAAAACCTTGGTAGAGACCTGTAACAGCTAAAAGGAGAGAATATTGGATGTATATTTATCTAATTATATATATATATATATATGTTTATATATCTATAGATATATCTATAGATATATATATATCTATAGATATATATAGCCCTGCGATGGACTGGCGACCTGTCCAGGGTGTACCCAGCCTTTCGCCCAATGTCACATTGGATTTGCACTTGTACACTTAAATTTATCTTAATTTGCAAGACATTGTTTCAAACAAATTGAAGATAATGAATTCCACTTTCTTTTCCAAGTTTCATGCTAAACATGAGGAAGCTCACTGATAATCAGAATCAGAATCAGCTTTATTGCCAGGTATGTGTACACTTACAAGGAATTTGTCTCTGAACAATGCCCACGATGTGCTTACTTATACAATCGTACAATAAGACAATAAAAATCAAACACAGGCTACAGTATAGAGAACACATATATACACACTATGAACAAAACAGACAGATTGAGACAATTAGTGCTATAGTGTTCATTACAATACAAATAAATTAGAGAATTTCAAGTTCCTATAATTCCCTCATTATTAGCGTTGTACATGCTTGTACAAGATTATATCATGAAATTGATCTAATCTTAATGAATGTACAGGTGATTCGTGATTCAGAAAGATCACATAGGGAAACCATTTTCACATATCAGTTTTGTGTATGCAGTCACCTCCAAGTTTCTGTTCTCTGTCTAAGCTTTCACTACACAACTACCTGAACGCCACCTTGAACGTGGCATGGTTGTTGGTGCCAGACGGGCTGGTCTGGGTATTTCAGAAACTGATAATCTATTGGGATTTTCACACACAACCATCTCTAGGGTTTACAGAGAATGGTCCGAAAAAGAGACAATATCCAGTAAGCGGCAGTTGTGTGGACGAAAAAGCCTCCAACAACAGAAAAGATCAGAGGAGAAGGAGTTCAGGCTGGTGGTGGTGGTGTGGATAAGACACATGCCTTGGGAGAGACCTGGGTTTGAATCCACTGTGAGAAACCAATGTGTCCCTGAGCAAGACACTTAACCCCTAGTAGTTCCAGATGCGTGCGACCTCTGACATATATAGCAATTGTAAGTCGCTTTGGATAAAAGTGTCAGCTAAATGAATAAATGTAATGGTGTGGGGGATGTTTTCTTGGCTCACGTTGGGCCCCTTTGTACCAACTGAGCATTGTTTAAACACAACAGCCTACCTGACCATGTACATCCCTTCAAGACCACATTAGGTTTGGAACGTTTCTTTACAACCTCCAAAAACTTAAGGAGTAGAACTTAGCAGAGTACTCAGGCATATAGTCAGACGAATTTCCACAATATGTTTTAGTGCTCAGCGTTATGTGCAGAGCGGTCAAATATTGAGACAGATCGTCTACCTTGATCTACCTTGATTGAATAATACTCTGTTCTCTTCTGAATCACAAGCATTTTCACTGTATTTACCATACAACTATAGTACAAGCATGTTGCATTTACATAAAGCCACTTAAAGTTATCACACACCTAACACCTTGAAGTGACTGACTTAGCTGTGGCCACAGGTGAAACATCATTTAAAATTGAAACTGACAGATGAGTGCACATGCAGGTTATTGCTCTGAGATTCAGTATTGAATTACTTCTTGAGGTAGGCCAGTGGCTGCCATATTGGAAGCAATGCGCTCACAGCTAAAAACAGCTGAATACTTTTTTAGACTCATGAAATGGCTGTCTCAGTAGAGCTAATAGGCATGGTTCATTTCTGTTGTTTGTTTGTGTGCAAGAATGAATCATTTCAAGCCAGCCAGCCAGTCACTGCACCTTCTTTTGTGTATTTGAACTAGTGTTGTAGTCAAGACGGCCTAAACTGAGACCAAGTCAAGACCAAGACCAGTTCCCCACATTACATATCACACAATGAGAATTAGGCTAATTCATTTGTGATTCAAATGAATTAAATCCAACATTTATTAAACATTTGTTATATTGTTATTGAGGGAAATTAAATCATTATAATTATCATTATTGATTTATTACACAACACAATTCTGTTGTGCATTCATTAGGCTTCTGGGTGATTCTTGTAGCGTTATTCCATATCTTAAGCTTTCTTTCTAAGTGGCAGCAAAAGTTAATAATGTGGTCCCAGTCGTCTCCGTAAGGTTGCACTGCAAAATTCACAGTTGGAATCGAACCCTGGTATCTCACATTAAAGGCATAAAATGAATTACTGCACAAAACCTACACCAGATAAGAACAAGCTCTTTTATCCTTTAGACCTGTTCTGAGTTTCTAGATGAGGGGAGTCTCAAAAAGTGGGGGATGTCAAAAGCTGGAAAAATATATAGCCTATATCTTCCCTTCCCTTTATTGCTGCAGCACCAGAAAAGATGACAAATTCAAACAAATTGTTCAGCAACTTTTTCTCTCCCTGGAAGCTCTTTCTGCCCATTTAAAAACATCTATGGTCATTTGTTCCAGTTATCTTTCTCACAATGTTCTGTAGAATGGACAGCTTGATGGGCATAGCAACAGTAACCAAGGGGGCAGGGGTTAATGAACAGTCATTTGAAAGTGAATCATTTGAAAAAATTCATACCAGAACATTGAACACATTTGAATAGTAATTAACCAACCAAAGCTTACAGGCAACTGCTAGCTAGTTAGTCAGATAGTTATGTTACAAATAAAAATGATGGATTTTAAATCCTGTACAAAGATAACAGATGCAAGAACTTCAACACCTCGTCAAGTCAAAACCTCAGGTAAGACTCCACTGTGAAATAATGATGGTAACTATGAGAGCTAACTTAGCTAACGTTAATTAACGTTAGTTACTAATCACAAAATGCATAAACAATATGCCCCTTTAAGAACATTTACTGTAGCTGTACTTCATATACTGTAACTAAATTTATAATAGTATGTACAAAATAATCCCTGTGAGCAAAAAGCTCTGCAGGCTTCAGGTATTCAGACTGATGGTCAGTTGCTCCAAGCCATACAAGAAGGTAACGTAGCCACTGTGACCCATTTATTTGTGGACTACTGTTTTGAGTTTGGCATTTTGGCGTCGCCATCTTGGTTTTTTGGAACTAGAAGTGACCATATTTGGATGAGCTAGCTTGGTTGGCAAAGGGCATCTCTGATCCTGCAATGCTAATTTTGGCTAGCAAAAGACATGCTTAAAATAAAATGGACCTTCTGGAAAACAGTGTCTTTTAGTAACCAAATGCTGCATAAGATATTTTTGGGCAACGAAAATGTTAAAATTAACTTTCATGATTTGAAAACACACTGTGAAAGCCTAAATTCAAAGACAGCACTCATTAACAACTTCAAGGTTCATTAAATGCAGTGCTGTTAATCAAGCTTTTTTAGCTGGTGTACATAGTGCAGTGGATACCTACCTCTATTCTGATTGACAGGTCACCATCGCAGCGATCTGTCAACACAAGGTAGCCAAGCCCTAAAGCAGTTTGTAGTCTATTTTGTCTAAATGGGACCATAATTCAAAAAATGAAAATCATGCTGTGTTGAAGACTTAAAACTAGCGATTGAATCCATAAACGCATTAGAAAAATGTTTACTGAGGTAATAAATAATAATAAATTAATAATAATTAATAATAATAAAGTAGTGTCATTTTCTCACAGACTTCCATATGATCAGGTAAATTAAAGGCCACCATAAAATCATTTTCAAGGAGACACAGTAAGTTAAGCTAGTTGGAAAGTTGTAGAAAACAATTGTGGGCTAATCTGAAAATACTGCTAACAAGTCTCTAAAAGACCATTTTCATTCTCAGAGAAACAGACGGCAGAGGACGGAGCAAAACATGTCTTGGACAGCCATGACAAACTTAGTAGAAGACAAAAGCCATTGTCCAAGCCTGGACTGTCTCTGGAGGTAAAGCATGTTGTGTTGCCCTTTATTTTTTCCCCCTGTAGTAAGACATTAATTTCCAAGCATCATGTTATTGTGGCTACAAAAACCATAAACCTGACAACTTTCACTTTTCATTAGCAAAGAAGGATTTTAAACTGGGAAACATGTTTCTTACGAGAATGTTTCATTTAATTTAATTCAACATAGTCTTTATAGTTTTTATTTTCCTGTCATTCAGAAAAAAATTGAACAGGAGAAGCGGAGGAGGCATGTTCTGATTAATGAGCACAACAGATTAACGTTTGCAGTGAAGACAAAAGAGGCTAAGTTGAAGGAGCTGCAAGAGCAGCTAAAAGCAATGAGCCTTCAGCCTACAAATTACAACTGTGAAGACACATGTGAGCAGGTAACTGTGCACCCAGAGACATTTGGCTTTTTTTGCCACTTGGGGGCACCAAAACAAGCTGAAAACATTGGACGGTATGCTGTATTATGACAACTTTCACTTTACACACAGTCATTTGAACCATCATTCATTTACAAATGTTGATTAGTGCAGCTTTATCTCAACATAATGCACTCAAGAGTCGGCCTCAAGACTCAGTACTTCACTGATGTCGTCTGTCAGTGTCAAACTGCATTTGACATGTCTGCACAAGCACCTCCCCAGGCCCACATTCTCTCCCTTTGAGGCTAGGGTTGCTGCTATTCTCTAAGTGCAGGTGTCACAGGTTGATTCTCTCCACTGTGGCTCAGGCAAAGAGATATACAGATAAGTTCAGATCCTGTACTGTACCACAGGATGAAATTCTTTTTACAGCAAGGCAACATAAAAATATATAAAAACACAAAATATACAGTTGACAACATTAAAAGTGCTGCTGCTATAACAGCAATACATGTTTTATGATGTCTATGGGAACATGAGCACTATTTATTTTTTGCACCATGGTCAAGGACGGCTAATGCTAGATGAGTTCATTTGTCTTTGAAGTTGTAGCATATCTTCTGTTAGCCTACTATTGCATCATCGATCACAAACGAATATGTTTTGCTTATTTTCTAATGTCAGCGTATACGACAGCTGGAGAACAACCTGGATAAGATGAAGCTGAAGACCACACAGGCTAAGAGAATCCAGACAGCCTATTGGCACATTCTTGAGCACCTGCAGCAGGTGAGCCATGCTGTTGCTGCTTTACTACAAGTAATCTAAACTGAAATAAGCTTCCGTTAGAGCCAACAGAAAGGGATCCTTTAAAAAATATGTCAAACAAGCAAAAAATAGTGTGTAAAAAAAGATTAAAGGAAGACTAACTCACGCCTACGCTATTCATCAAAAATACATTTTAATACAATTAATCTTGGAGGCCCTGCTCTCAATTTGCTGCAGTTGCTGCTTTGTGGAGAACACCCCAAATTTATGGCATGTTGTCTTGTTACGTTTTCATTGTCATAACTGTTGCATTTAAAGTTTTTGTACAAGCACGTTAATTGTATTTTTATTGATTTTGGTAAAATCAAACCACGCTTTCAAGAAGTGTGCCTCAGAAGAGTTGCCTGTTGGGTCTAACAGCATCTAAAACTCCCTCAACCCACACCTGATGGCAGAACCAGGGAAGCTGCTTTTGAAACACTTTTGTTGCGCTATGGAACAGTTCAACCTAAGACCTTAACAAATGCATCTGTAGCCAACCAGTAACAATTTAAGACCATCTGTTCTGTTGGGGACCAAAACGTTAGAGAGGAAAGCATCCCAGCAACATATTGATTATTAAGTCCACACTCCAAACTGGCTGAATTCTGGGCATGCATATTGAATCATGTTATTACATTATCAACATACAAAGACTGTATTTTTTTCCTGTTGAAGAGGCAAGATCAGCGTATTTCTCCAGTTTGATAACCACAAATGGTAACATCTTATTAGAGGTTATCGATTCTGTTGTGAGAGGCTCCTCCACCTCTGCTGGTTCTGAATTAGCGGAAGAATATCTTTATTATTTTGTTAAAAAGGTGGAAAGTATTGAGACTCCCCTCACCCCCCACCCACCATTTCTAAAATATACTTCTTTTTGGAGAAAGTTATTGCCTTTCAACTGATCACAGAATTTTCGATTGAGCTCTACATAGTAGGCTACTGATGGCCTAATTGCCAACCTGCTTTTTCCCATTTCACTAATGGTAAGTTCACCAACTCCTCAAGGGTCAATCTTGTATTTGTTAATAATAATTATAATAAAGATAATAATAATAACAATAATATAAATTAATAATATACATTTTTATACCTATTGCAATTTATCTTTTTGTGAAGCACTTTCTAACATTGTCAAGAAAATAGCTGTATAAATAAAGTTTATTCTTAATTTTAAGCAGCGATGTAATGTGTCAGTACAGAACCATTGTCTCATTCTGTTGTTGCCGCTGTTGTTTTGTATTTGTAATGTGGTCAGGAGGTCCGTGGTATGTACAAGATCCTGGACCAGAAAGCGCATGCAGTTGCCGTTGGACAGGCAGAGGTGGACAAAGCAACCCAAAAGTTCCAGTCAGCAGCAGCTGCTGCAGATAGCACACTGGTAAGACCTCACCACCACAATCCTAGCCTAACCCAGCTGACTACAGCAAGAAGGTCTGATGTGGATTTCAGTGTTTGGAGGCTTAGAGGAGTCAGAAGCTTCACTGGATGCCTTAGAAAATGAGAAGCAGTTTCTCTTCACAGTGTGTATACATGATCCTGATTACAAATATTTTCAAATAATCTAGTGATGGATTGTGTTGGGATCTCTGGTCAAAAGTGCATTAAACTGCTTTTCAAATGATCTGTACAATTCTCAGAGCAACATACCACACTTATTGGTCATGCAGCAGACACGTCATAAAGGGACAACAAACCTCTCATATAGAAGAGAAAATGTAGAAGTAGACTGCATGGGTTGGTTTGGTTTGGTCAGAGGGAGAGGTGGAGACACTGTTAGTCATGACTTGATTTCTCAAGTCTTCTACTAGTTTGTGATTTTCTTTCTCTCCAACCCATCAGGGCAAAATGGTTCAGGTGGAAAATGAGACAATGGAAAAGAAAAGTAAAATGGATAGTGAGCTGGGCGAACTGACGGCAGAAGAAAATGAGCTGAAACGGAACATGAAAACACTTGGACGTCTTAGCCCCAAAGGGCAGAGCAGGCTGAAGGAGCGGGTAAGAATGGAAAAAGAATGAATCTTAGATTTAGATGAAGACGAATAAGATGAATCAGTTTGTAAAGAAGTGATTGATTAAGGTTATATCTTTTTTCACAAGCAGGAAATTGAGGAAAAAGCACAGTCAATTCCTGTCACAGGTAATGCAACAAAGAACTTATTTTATTCAGCTGTCTGTCACTGTAGTCATGCTTTGCTGTTGTAGGTGGTAAAATCTTTAAACGCTAATTATCTTATCCCTGTCAACCAATTGTCTGCCGTGGTGGTGATATATCAAAAACTGTACAGGTACCTTTAAATTAAAAGCAGGATTAGCCACTACACATGTTTCAAATAAGGAACATGAATAAATTAACATGGGTGGCAAGTGGATAAATCATAAAATAAATACAAATAAATAAATCATCAAAATAAGTGCTTTATGATGAACCCATTATCAGTTAATCCATTATAAAACATATCAAAATAAAACTTACAGTACTATAACCACTGAACAATCATTTTACTGGGACATATTTTGCCTATCCAATTTTATTTTCACCCAATGGTTTTATGTTCTATTTGTTTTGTTTCATTTCCATGTCTCATTGTATTTTATGTGCACTTGTGAAGCATAACTGGGCCCATATTCAAGAAACTACTAAAGAGAAAGATACCCCTTTACTCTCACAGGTAAAGGTATTTATCAAAGTGTTGTTAAATTTAAGAGAGCTCTAGATATCTCTGAAGTTGGTTAAGAGTAGATCCTAGATAACTGTAGGTCGGAAACAGAAGCAGAACTCACCTTCTGAGACATGTTTTGGTGCAAATTATTATTGGTCACTATAAATAATATGTTTGTTAAAAGTACACTATATGTAATTCAGATGTATATTTGAACATTTGATGTTTTGATGACATTTTTCAATGATGCAAACAACTATTAAAGCTCACATTAATTTAGTTTGCAGTCACTTTCCATGCATCTTTTCCATGCAGCTTTCAACCTCATCTCATGGTCTTCACTAGCCTCTCAATTTTCAGATCTCAGTTGTCTGGGTTTTTTTCAAACTAGTTATTCCAAGATTACAAAGGTGACCTTTCATATCTGTACTTCTTGATTCTTTTGTAAATAAAGTCACAGAACCTAAAATAAAAACAAAACAAAAACAGAAATTAAAATAGCAAGGGAGCACTTCACACTCCCATCACATTCAAATATTAGCACTCGTCCATTAATGTAACAAAGCCATACCTCTGTATAATACTCTACAATACTGTAGGAATAAATGATATAATCTCGTAGTTAAAGTGTTGATATGTGTTCTGTGTACCTCTGCAGATCATCAGTATTATGACATCTGTGGTGCTTCCCAGTCTGACATGAAACTGGTAGAGGATATGGAGGCTCTGAGAGAGATTCTGGGCTGTGCTGACATACAGGTAGTCAATTCAATTCAAGTCAAATTTACATCTATCATTAATGAAGCAGTTTTAGTGGACACGTCCCCTTCAAAGTGCTACACATGCTACAAATACACAAATAAATCAGCAAGGACACAATAAATGAAATAAGAGGTAAAACTATGAACTAATGCAATATACATTACTGTAGCTTATGTGTTGAAATCCTGGCACAGGAAATAACTACAGAGCCCTCTGTGACCTATAACTGAACTCTTTTTTTAATTAATAAGCCACTGTGGGAATTGCATTGGGTGATTATGTGGTTCATTTGTCTGATCAGGGCTACCATGTTTCATTGTGTTCACATTGTTCTTATTTTGAGTAGGTTATACAAAACTCAATAGTCCTAGAGCGCTACGATTTGTAAAACCAACAGTATTCTGCATTTATACAATTATGTCCATGACATGATGCTGTGATCATACAACATTCAATAATCACTATATTCGCTATACATGTGTCGCTTAGTCGAGAGTTAGATTTGAAGATTGATGTCATGTTCATGTCTGTTTGGTTAGCAGCCAATTAGCGTAGCTTAGCTTAGCATATAGCCTGGAAGGGGGGGAAAGCTAGCCTGGCTCTGTGTAGCGTTAATGACCTGTGCCTCCAAGCTCCATAAAGTTCACTAATGAAAACGTTATACCTTGTTTGTTTAGTACAAAAAAGTTAAAAGTTTTATGGAGTGCGATTTCCTGGAGTCTTGTTGTCACTGAGGTTGCCCGTCAGTAGAGATATCAGGAAGATACTGCACCCAACCAAGAAATAAGCCACCTAAATTTTGTTAGCTTTGGACAGAGTCAGGCAACGTGTTTCCCATGTTTCTAGTCTCTATGCTAAGCTAGCCGGCTTCTGGCTTCGTGTTTAGCACGCAGACATGAAAGTGGTATTAATCTTCTCATATAACTCTCAGCAACAAAATGCAAAAAACAACTATTCCTTGAAAGACATTCACAAAAGGGATGCATCATATGATTTTAAGTGAGTCTTTGGGCACCAAAGAACTCATTTTTAGATTAGCTTTTATTGTATGCTTTTGTTTTGCAGCTGTCTCTGGATTTATTAAGACAAAATTATAGTCATTTCTCCTCATTTGTATTGACGCATTGTAAATAAGCCCTTGGCTGCATTTAACGGCATTGACAGCGCACATGCCTGCAAAATTCTTGATATCAATCCAAGCTCCTTAATATGATGTGAGGTGACCAGAGAGCCTGTGTAAACCACTGTTGTGTGCCTTTCTTAATAGGATCTAGTTAACAAGGTGGTGTCACAGCAAGCCACCAAAGAGCAGCTCCAAACTGAGGTAACCCACTGTGAGGAACTCGTCAGGCAGGAGGCCAAAACCCTGGCTGATCTGGAGCTCCTGAACACAGAACTCAAGTTCAATGCCAAACCTACAACTACAAGGTATACTGTCAATGAAACTCTGCTACACAGTCTGAGTTATCCAGTGTTCACATTATCTTTAGTTGTTTCTAACTTTATATAGTAAAATATGTGTTAGATGTAGAGCCAAAATGTGGTGCTCAGTTGGATTATCACAGATGGTCACCTAACATATCTTATCTTTACTTTGGCTTATCAATTTTCCTTAAAAAACAAGGCAATTTAAGTAGAGCTGAAACTATTATTCGACTGACTAAACTGATTATTATATACTGACAAATTGAACATTACTGTGCAACAATTTGTTTGTTGTAGCTTCTAAAATGTTTGCTACCTTTTCTGGTTTTTCATAGTCTTCTGTGTTAGTAAACTAAATATATCTAACTCTTGGCTATGACAACCTGGACTCTGCAAAATTGTAATGGGCAATGTTCACTATTTTATAGACCAAATGTTTATTCAAATAATTGAGAAAATAACATGTTTTTTATGGTGAGGGCACCCAGAGGAAATCTTCGCAAACACGTGTGGTGCCCAAACAATACAATAATGCTGCGATGACACTGCTACAGTGCTATTTTTTTGAACTGTTATGAGTCAAATGCATAAATATTGGATACTACACACGCAGAGAACATGCAAGCTCCACATAGAAAGGCCCTGAGGAGACCACTGAGCTGCTGTGCTGCCTAAAACACAAAAGGTTTAAATTTCTATAATAATAATGTATAAAAATAATAATTCTATAGTAATACTGCTAATAATAAAAATTGGAACTTTTTAAAATCCATATTACAAGTTGCTTCACAAAGGCAGCAAAATAAAACATCTGGTTTTAGAAGAAAACCGATACAAAAACAAGAAAAACATTTGAAGGCAACATTGTAGTTGAGCCGTTTTGTATTAGTGACAGTTTAAGACCTAATACTAGGATAAATTACTTGAACTCGTAGTGTTTCTTGTCATGTCACAAAGCCTATTCTAGATGCTGGACTTGCCAAACGCTATGAGCCATCACTCTGGATTACTGTATCTGTCTTTTTAACTCACATGGCAGGTACTAGTTTAATGCCTGTGGCTATGTGGAGGGTGTGATAATGAGGGTGATGATTATTTACAAGCATCTGGCAGCCCTGGTAGGCCCCATGTGGCTGGATTTATCAGTCTGGCACAGCGGGGAAATCAACAACATCCTCTTGTGGGGTGATTATGCCAGATTGATGTCTCTGCTGATTTCTCCTGAGATGTTTTCACAATCCCCTCTCACGTCACCTTAGGCTATTCTCCAGTTGTGTTGTTACACAGTGACATTTTCAATATCTGATCCACTTGATGCACTCGTCACTTAATCTTCTTAAACAGCTGGGACAGGGACAGTTTGAAATAACATCACGAAAGTGTGAGACGTCTTCAATTGGGCCATCCAAACTTTTATCCTATGCATTGCGACATTTTACTGCCATGTGTTGCTTTTATTACATGAAGAGAGAGGGGCTATCTTACAAAAAAACTCCATCTGGTTATTTTAAGGTTTGACAAGCTGAAGGAACAAATGCAGGCAAAGCTGAGTCAGAAAGTGGATCATGTTCAGCGACTTCAGGCCAAGCTGCAGCAGTCTCAGGGTCTGTTGGACACTGTTGAGCAGGGGGTGACCAATGTCTACTTCAGGATGAGCTGCGTACTTGTGGAGGTTTGGACCAAACTCTCTAAACTTTATTACTTATTGTACTGGGGCTGGACGATATGGCCCAAAATTTTATCACGATAAAGATTTTCATATCTTTCTATATCAATAATTATCACGATAAGTATCAAGTCGTTATTTCTACTTAAATTCTAAATTATGGTCAACACTAGATGCTAAACAGTGGATCACTTCACAAATCTGAGTTAGAACATAATTATGATAAAATCTTTGTCAACAAATATGCACGAGTCAAGTTAAGTAAAAGCTTTTTTCAGTCCCTTTCCCCCCACAAAATAAACAAAAAATAAGTTCTAATTTGTATATAATTCAAGTTAATAAAGTCAAACATTTATTGAACATTTGTTATATTGTTATTGAAAAAAATTATATTGCAATAATTAGTGTCTTTTTGTTTTAAAACTGTCTTCAAAAAACAGATTAGGATTTTTCCAGGTCTATGTGAATGCAGTGCTAACATGCCACATGCTGTAACTTTTCCCCCTCTCCACACTGGCCCTGAAGCAAGTCCCCAGATCTCTTTTCAAGGAACTAAAAGGATCCTTCAGCCCATTGTTGTGTGCGTTTCCACCATGGTCTAAAGACCTGCGAAGATTAGGCAAATTAACCAGCTGACGTAGGCTGTAGGCCTATATGCCATGCAAAGCGATGCAGGCATCATTATTTAGTAACGACTATCCATGAGCAAAATTTATAAATGAACATCAGATTTGACTGGAATATAGTGATATATAGTATAGCTATGCTGGACCATTGTGCAGGAGTATAATGAAGAGACACATAAACAAAAGTTGTTACAATTTTAATAACAAACTGGATAAAGCCATCAAGTTCTTAAAAGAACTCCAGCACAGAGAAAGCACCAAAAAAATAACATTGTGACATTTTGGAAGGTTATTAAAACATTTCCAGCCGACAAGAGCTGCAGATAAGCTGCAGCACTCACGTCTGTGTCGCCTGAGCGTCGGAGGAACGGGATGTTTAACGAGCTTTATTAACTGCTGTAATCAGCTGTTCCACTTGTTTTGGAGTGGAGGAGACCGACTTCAGCTCTGTGTAGAAACCTCCTGACTGATGAAAACTTAAAACAACAACTTCGGACCCAGTATTTAGCGTAATTCCATAAGCAGTTCGCTGTAAACACACTGCTGCACAACTGCAACCAATACATTTAATGCCAACATACGATCTCAGGCGGACATCAGCGAAACTTGTGTGGCTATCTGATTGTTGATTGTGATTTATTGGTTTGCAGACAAGATGGAACAGAGAGGAGCAGTCGTATAAAAACAGCCGACATGCTCGATTTAAAGCCAGAAGCCTCTACTCACCCATTCAGGAACTCACTGCAAACTCCAACTCCCAAAGTACCGGTACTTTCGGAAAGTACTACCCCCCGAGCAGGAACTTTTTGGGGGGTAAAATAAAGACCCTAGAACTACATTTACACACTGGTCCCTTCGGTGGCAACACAGTGAAGGTTCCTAGTTCCGGGGTATAGTTCCTTTGGTCGAAACACAGCTTAAGTTACACTGTGTGAGGATGAATTTGAGTTTAAAAGCACGATAGCTGCCCTAAAGTCTGGTGGTGTGGCAGCAGAAACTCCTATATGTCTTCCCAGAAGGCAGCAGGGTGAACAGGCTGTGGTTGGGTGGGTACTGTCCTTTAGTATCCTTTGGGCTCTGCTTGGAAGATATGTACCAAGTTGTTTTAATCACCCGCTGCACACACTCCTCCCATTCATTTGTACTTTGCATTGTGAGATAATATTTGATACAGACATTCATGTTCCCCTCAGAAAAAATTGTAATCACTTTGTTGATCATCAAGTGCCATCATTATGTAAACATGATCATTTGTCCAATTACTTTTGTTTATGACCAAATACTAGCAAAACCAATGACATTCCCATCAACTCAGCTGTACTTTGTATTTAGCTATAACTAGCAAATGTTAGCATGCTATCATGCTTGATAGTGAATTTGGTAAACACTGCTAAACATTAGCATGTTAGCATTGTCACTGTGAGCATGCCGATGTTAGCATTGAGCTCAAAGCCCTGCTGTGCCTAGCATGGCTGTGGACTCTTTGTGTTGTTATCTGCTGATACCAATATTGGGAAAACTACTACTTAAAGGAGCCAAGAATTAATATAACATCATCAATACCATTGACTGCATGCTTCCATGTGTTTCTCATGAGTTTCTGTAGTGCAAACGAGTGCAAGATAGATTTTGTTAAAGTTTTTACACACACAAGTCAAAAGGCTCTCTTACAATATTTAGATTGAACCCCAGAGAAAGATAGGCTTTGTCGTAATATGAGTTTGACTGTTGTGTTTGCTAGACTAGCATTACCACTTTTCCTCTTTGTGAAGTCTGTCCATCTTTACATGTTGTTTTGCTGTCTGAGTAAATCTTGCAAGCCTGAATTTTGCTAACTCTTGTCACAATCAGAGCACTTATTAGCATTTTAACTTGTCATCTCAGGGAAAACAACACTAACTATCTGACATATTCAACAAATCTTTGACTCTTTTTCAGGGGTTGCCCAGCGCGTCCAGTACTAACGGCACAGACAAACTGGGGGACATCAGCGCCCGTCTACCAACATTACTGCAAATAGCCTCAAAGCAGAAACCTGAGATCAGCGGTCTGGACAAAGAGAGGGTGCTACAATTCTCTGATACTTTCTATCTGCTCTCAGTTTGGGTCTGACCAAAACACCCTTTAAAGAATGGGACAGGTTAATGTGCTGCATCTGATATTTTATATTGATGTTATCATTATAGTGTTAGTAGTCCTTTAGCACTTACACTGATGTTAATAATAATACATTTATAAAATAATAAATTTGACTATTCGCTTCATCAGTTATGACAGATTTCTTTAGTAATTATTAAATGAGCACTGACATTTTGGAGAACAAATTTTCTTGCATGAGAAGATATACAGTATTTATAAAAGTGTGTTTTTGGAAAGTTTCCAAATGTCTCTATTATCTGTCCCTACACATAAATCAAGATGTCCTTTTAAAGGTGTCAGAAATCAATTTTGGTTTAAATTCCCTGTCCATTGTCAATTTAAAAACATTTTTAAAATAGTACTTGTTGTTTATAATGTCTTACTCTTTTGGGAAAAGATTCAAGTTGTTTAAAAGGTGTGACCATGAGTTGTGTCTAGTTATTGTGTTAACCGCCACAGCCTTTGCCTCTGCGTCTTCTTGATTAGGTTTACAGTTTGCTGGAACAGCTCAACATGATGGGGATGAGGAACAACAAGAGACAAACTACCCCTCTAGGTGAGGAGAAACTTACAGAACTGGATGCATCCAGCAGCTTATAAGGCACAATACAAATGTCTTAAAAATGTTTGAATAGCACAAACATTGCCAAAATGGTAGAATAGGTTAGAGCAACCTAGCTACAGTGATTCCCATTAATTAATCATACTATGGCAGCCCGCCACAGTCAAATTTTTTCTCCGCCATAGTTTCAAAATTAACCGACTGTTTCTCAATCTGCGTTCTTGTACTTGGCAAACTCGGTATTGAGAAACAGCTAACCACTTTTCTTTTGAGGTAATTAAGGTAATGTTAACTAAGGCCCCGGACCCCCTTAGAGGGTCAATGTCTACCCACCATAGTCTCATAAAATCCTGTGGGAAACACTGTAGCAGTTAGTAGGCTCTTTGCCAATGTTTAGAAGAAAAATCCAAACTGACCCTCTGCTGAGAGACAGTTGGTACGGATGGTCAGCTGTAATCCAACAATCAGCACAAATACAGGTCTGCCATTGTTTAGAAGCTGTTGGGATACAGGTGTCTCTGTCCCCAGTCAAGGTTGTGTGTGGCTGGTCAGTGTACTTAGTGTACTCAGTGGTAGTAGTAATAGTAGACCTGTATTTAAAGCACATATTGTTTTGGAGAAGATATTGTCTAGATAACACTACAAGTAAATGAAACACATGCAATCTACAGTATCATTTCTAACCTACATACAGAAAGCCCTCAGAGCAAAACTACCCTAATCCTAACTACCCAGTGGTCCCGAGAAATTAATAACATCAGTGTAGCATTAGTTAAATAGGTACAATACAATAAATAGAGAAATCTGGCAATTGGAAATAACAGTACTTTTTAAACCAGAATGGAAAGACTCATTTAAAAACTAGTTTAGTCCTGAGCTGTTTAGGGAATTCAAGCTTGAACATAATTGAGTAGTAGTTGCTGTCTTAAGCTTTTTTTAAAATAAGTAAATATCAGGAATGCATTGTGCAGATGTCTTGACTGAGAATCTGCCTTTCATACTTTACCCCGTCTTACAGACACTCCCCAGCTTAGTGAGGATGAAGAAGAGTGCGTTCTGTCCCGCGAGGAAATCAAACGCAACAGCAGTAAACTCATTGAATCCAAGCAGAAGAAGAAGAATAAGTCCTCGAGGAAAGGCAAGAGGAAGCAGTAGAGATATAGACCACAGAGTGGGTATAAAAAGGCTAATGAAATAAACAATAAAGAAAGCTAGAAGTTTCTGCTTTTGTTGACTGTGATTGACACTGATCCACAGTGTACCAATTCTGAATCCCACTTCAACTTATGATGATGAAAGAGTGATTCTATCAGAATTCAAAATTTTCCTTGGACTTTTATAGTGAGCAACTGAGTGTATTTTTTATTTTTAAGTGAATTTATTCAAACCAGGCTAAGGACAGTATGCAGTTAATGTCCCTCCATGAAACCTTGTTTAAAATTACAGAGCTTATATTGAACCACTAGGTGGGAGCATTGTGCAACTAATCTAAAGGGAAGGGACACACATGTTGAGCGTGGTGGCGAGTTTATCTAACTGAAGGATGACTGGACTGACTCTCAGCTAAAGGGGAAGGGAGTCTGGCACGGAGCAAGTCTGTCCCAGCTGAAAATTAGCATAATTATAGGCATCTGGTCATTATCCTGGATATGAAACATTATTTATTTTTATAATTGGTACACGCATTTCTCAATAGCGAGTTCACTTTTTGGAAACTCCTTACACAGTAAGCGCAACAACAGTCCATTGGCATGGTTTGAAGTCTAGGACTTAGTATATAATACTTAGTATACAGCTCAAACAACAGTATTGCATGCTGACCTAGAGCTTAAGTAGAACTGGGTCAGGTTAACACGGTGTAACAGGGAACTATTACTTCTGAGCTGTAGAATATTGGGCAGAAATTGAAAAACGTGGCACAATACTGGATTTAATGTCTTTAACATAAGAAAGATATGGCGTTCCACTACATCTGTTTTGAGATTTGAGTCTCCTTTATAAAGTCATGATTAAAAAAAAAAGATATTTAAAAGTGCAAATATCATACTGACTAAAAATTGTTAGAAAAACAAAGGTTTTAAGGCTGGATAACAGATTGGATAACACTTGTGCAGTGTGTACCATGGTCACCAGTGTGGATCTAGGGCATGATGTGACTCAGTGACATGACTTATTTTCTGTAGAGACCAGAGACCTCTCCTCTGCTGTTGTCAGGCGAGAGTCTGAAGTGGGAGGAGATGAACGGGCATGTGGAAAAGCCATTTGAAAGACAGTTGAAGGAAAATCAGAAAACCCCCAGAGTGGAATAAAATATTTTTAATTTCACACCAACATACACTGCAAATACTATATTTCTAAGTAAGTCTAGTATAATCTCATCACATTGCTAAATATAGCAGAATGCAGCTTAAAATAGAGGAAATTGTTAGCAATATGTCATGATTAACATAGTAAGGTTTGCTAACTAGCATCATAAAAGTTGTTTATTGTCTTAAACCAGCTCAAACTTCAAAGATGATGTTGTTCCAATAGTTCCTGTTTGTCTTCATTGATCTGTCTTTTCTCTGCTAATGCAGAGGTGTATCATTTTGAGAACTCAGATATAAGGCAATGTGTAGCGGCAAGGTGAAAAAAGTTTAACCATCAGAAACTCCAATGGCAGCTGCGAAGAGCTGTGCGTGATTACGAGCAGCAACCGCTTGTTGTCTGAAAGCATCTTTAGCCCTGCTTGTGTATCTATGAAGTTGTAACCAAGCGGAGAGGTGCTTAGAGCTAAATGCTAACCATAGGCCATAAGTGCCACCAGAGACTGTATATAAAAAGGGTGCCACTCAATGTAATGGGCAATTTATTTTTTCAACATTTTCCAGGTCTCACCCCCTCATTCTGTTCCTTTTATGATGCATAATAACTGTGAGATGTTTCATTCAGATATATTAATATTTACTGGTAGCTCAATGGGCTCAATGTTTTTATATTTACTTTCATTGTGATTTAATTCAAAAATTCTCTACCAAAGTAAATTAATACTTGAGTAAGTATTGTTATAATTTTTTATATAATTTAACTGTTCTTTTTCATATTCTGATTTGTGTTATTATTTGGTTTAAATACTATGTAATCAGAATAATATTTTTGGGTTAGCACTATTGCAGCCGTAGTCAGTAGAATAGTTAACTCTGTGCAGGGTTGCAGCTCCCAGCTGGGGAGTCACAGGGCTAACTCATAGAGACAAACAAGTCATACACACGTTCACACCTAAGGGCAAAGACCACCAATCACCAATTAACCTATGCATGTCTTTAGACAGTGGGAGGACATGAAGAGAACCCACACAGACACGGGGAGAACATGCAAACTCCACAAGGAAAGGCCTGGGCCTCGATCCACAGCACCACCATGGAGCATCTGTGTGCCATGTTAATCTTAATTATTCTCATTTTTAGCACCACCTACCAGTTTTTTTCTGGTACAGTAAAGAAGGACACTTAAAGAGAGGTCACTTAACAAGAACTTCTTCTGCAGCTGTCGCTTCTATTTGTTGGAGCGCAGTGGGGACGTACACATTTAGGCTCTCAGAGCTTTCCAGATCTACAGTCTGAAAATTTTCCGGTTCTGAATGAACTGTCACATATGGTAAATGGGCTGTATTTGTATAGCACCTTTCTAGTCTTTTCGACCACTCAGAGTGCTTTAGACTACATCACATTCACCCACCTATGAGCAGAGACCCAACTGTTCATCAGAAACAGAAGTTAACTCATTCACACACTGATGGCACAGCCACCAGGAGCAATTTCGGGTTCCCAACCTTCCTTTAAGGGGACGACCGTTCTACACTGAGTCAAAGCCGCCCACTTATGCCACTTCAACAGTTCCATAATTAAGGTCTAACTGAAAGTCTATCTGGTTCACATGTGCATGTGTTTCATCCACTTCATAGAAATCTGCAGCTCTGTGAGCTGGAGAGCTAGCCTACAACAAAACACATGTAGCTGTTATACATTAAGCTGCAATACAAGTGTTTATTATTAACTTATGAAGTAACTGTTAGCAGCTATGTGTCTTCTTTTTGTGGAGTTTTACATTATTGTAACTTGTGATATTAAAGTTAATATTACATGATAAAATCTGAAAATGTTGAACATTGTAAGCTACCAGTAAAAATTATTAGAAAACATTCAAATTTTGTCAACTTAGTTTTTGTCACATTATTAACACATTTGGGGGGAGGGAAGATGAAAATTAGAAACTTTATTTTTGAGTGACACCCTAGTCAGCATGCTAACATTCTCACAGTGGCACTGCTTACATGCTTATGTTTAGCAGGTATGATGTTCGGGGATGTCATTAGTTTTGCAAATATTCAAACCAAAGTATTGGATATATGGAAATGTTGACTGTAAGATGGCGCTAGATGAAAAATCAGGGGAACACAAAAGTCATTGACTGGACCAAAGTGGTTTACCCACCTATCAATTGCCATAGCTAAAGCCATTGCAGTAGGAATAGTGGCTGAGTGATTAGAACACGACTCCCACCTTGAAGGGCAGAGGTTCAAAATGTGTCTGGGCTAGACTGAAAAGGGTTTTGACTATTGTTGATCTAACAATATCACTTACATTTAAGTAATTGAATCCCCTAGTATTAATTGTCTTGTAATTTTAATAACTACACTATTCAACATTCACTGAATTAACCCTTTTGGTCTCATTCCAAGACTTCTGGTAGCTGGACATCCTGACTGAAGTAAAATCATGTTAATATAAAATGTTTTCATTTATATTTAATAAGGCTGTTTTGTAGTGTATCCAGGGAAAGCAAAGACAGTTTCACACATTCACTGCAAGCAGCTGCCCGGTATAGCCAGTCTTACACCCTTTTAACTGCAAATAAAGAAAGATGAAAGCCAGATACTTCGCATTGCATCCCATATGCCACCTCCACTTAGGAAAAATATTGATTTACTTTTTATAAGTGACCTTCCTCCTTTTGTTTGCGAATGATTTTTTATCTGATGTTTTTCCTCCATGTTTCCTCTCCAGGGCTTTGTGTCATCCATTTTTAACATACAGGTAAGTAGGTCATTGCACAGTTTCGAGTCTCTCTGGCTTCAGCACATGGTTACGTACTGTTCGTGTTGCCACTCTGCCAATTATTCCCCTAAGACATCAGACATGTGCAGACACGGCACATTTCTCTACAGGAAACTCGATCAATGTGCCAAGTGACCTGTTTATTCTCCAACACCATCTCAGCCTGCCTTAATTGAATCTTCACTAGATAAAAATGATTATCTTTTTATTTTTTATTTCATTGGATTATTTCTTTCTTTTAATTATTTTCACCCTTCTTTTTGGAGGACTCTTTCACTTTAAGTTCTTTATGTTATTATATCACATCTCTGGCTGTATAGCTTGACATTTGCATTAGCCTCAGCAAATGCTGTACGCTAACACACCAAACAAAACTGGTGAACATGATAAACGTCATGCTTGGTTCAGCCCCACAGAGCTGCAGGCATGGCTGAAGACCTTGTCTTGTTAAAAGGCTTATTTTTGTCGATAATGGATGAAAGAATAATGATCATTAAATTATGCAATATTTACATTGTTTCCATGTTTTTCGAAATCCCAAGGACATTACTGTGCGCATGTTTCATTTGGTCATCTAGGGGAATTTATTGATATAATACCTCAAGCCTTATTATTTAAAGCTACAGCCAGTAACGATTGCATATACAATGAAAATCCTTTCTAGTCTCTTAGCAGATTATCTGTCTCATGTACTACTGTCAGGATTAATTAACAGTTTTAGCAAATATCACAAATTCCCTTCTGCTGCTTCAAATGCAACCTCTTTAAATTCAGTTATTCCAGTGTTCCTAATAGATGTCACTCATTCACTAGACTCCCAGTTGGTCCCTTCTTTGACAGTCAAATTAGGCTACTTGCAATCCAAAAACATTATTCCCAGAAATCCTTGTATGAATAAAAAACAAATACGTTTTAGTAAATTTTACAAAATACTAAATGAATTGTCACTGACACAGAGAACTTAAAAGTCACACACAAGTTCAGATTTTCTCAGGACACCATTAAGACTGAATGAATAAGTCATAAAAAGGTCTGTACAACTCTGTACATCAAAATTGTAGAAGTTCAAAGCATACTGTTTTTTTGCACATTGTAAGTTGCTTTGCAAATAAATAGAATGT